CACAGGGCAACAGGTGATGCTGTATTGAGAGCTGTCAAAGGCAGAAGTCTGCGCACCTGGCCCCTCTACCAGGCTTGGCCAATCCAGAGGTTCCACAGTGCCTGCCAATCATAGGAGGCTAACGCTTTAGATCAGCGGTTCATTGATGCTTGTTTTTAACTTTTGTTGTTTTTGCCTTTTCATGTTGTTATTGTATGTTTTATATTTTTAATGTTTTGATATATTTTATGATTTGGTGGTATACTGTATATTTATTATTATAAATGCAGATAAAAAATAAAGGTGCTTGCAATATTCTTTAGCATCTGGAGGGAGCACTTCAGCACACGGTCACAGGAAGTTCCCAAAGTTGGTCCTGGCTTCCATCCACAGGATGTCCTTGTTAAACTGTGAGCTTTGCCATTCGCTCATGAGAGTGCTAGAATTTATCGGCCTGCTTAATCCAGATGACCTCTGCCAGACTCTCAGGGATTTAGACTAGAATCCCTAAGAATAGCAGATGGCTAGGAAGAGCTGCTGTCTTCAGCATTTTTTCTCCCGGTCTGTGAAATTATTTGCACACACCCACTTTTTTTTCTTACAACTGGAATTGCAGACACTAACTGAGACACTTTCAGGCTAAACATGTTTAATGATGTAACAGCTCGCCCGGCAACTGACAACAACAAAACCTCCTCAGTTATCTTCTTTTTTAAAGGAAATGGTAAGAAATGCACAGCTTGAGGAATTCCATGCAATTAAGGGGGAGGGGTGTTGAACATTTTCCTTGCAAAAGAAAGAATTAGATTGTCAAAGATCTCCCAACCACCTCCACACAAAAATTACAATCTTTGGCAGGTGCTTCACTAAAGCGTGCATCACTTACAAGCATAATTTAATTGTGCTTCAGCCTGCATTCATAATGTGGGTGCTGTTCCTTGGATTCTACCACATCAGCAGCATTTTATTATTTGTACCCACCCATCTGACTTGGATGCCCCAGCCACTCTGGGCAGCTTCCAACATACGTATATAAAACATAATAAAACATTGCACATTAAAAGGCTTCCCTATACAGAGCTGCCTTCAGATGTTCTCTAGAGGTTACACAGTGGTACCTCGGGTTACAGACGCTTCAGGTTACAGATGCCACTAACCCAGAAATAGTACCTCGGGTTAAGAACTTTGCTTCAGGATGAGAACAGAAATCGTGCAGCGGTGGCAGTGGGAGGCCCCATTAGCTAAAGTGGTATCTCAGGTTAAGAACAGTTTCAGGTTAAGAACGGACCTCCAGAATGAATTAAGTTCTTAACCCGAGGTACCACTGTATAGTCAATCAGCACCTTGGGCGTTCCACAGGGTGGGCACCACTACTGACAAGGCCCTCTGCCTGGTTTCCTGTAGCTTCCATTCTTGCAGTGAAGGAACCACCAGAAGACCCTCAGAGCTGGATCTCAGTGTCCAGGATGAATGATGGGGGGTCGAGACACTCCTTCAGGTATGAAGGGCCAAGGCCATTTAGCGCTTTAAAGGTCAGCACCAATACCAGACCCTTCAAGTGTCCCTATTTTCCAGGGACATCCCTGTTTTACAGAAGCCGTCCCAGTTTCTGATTTGATCCGGGAATGTCCTGCTTTTCCTTAGGACGTCCCTATTTTCATTGGAGAAATGTTGGAGGGTATGAAGTTATCCAACCCCTGAGCCGTCTGAAGGCAATCCTGTATATGGAAGGTTTTTACTGTTTAATGTTTGATTATGTTTTTCTATATATTGGAAGCTGCCCAGAGTGGCTGCAGCAACCCAGTAAGATGTGTGGAGTAAAAATAGTAAAATGATGATTATGGAACGGGAAGTCCCTATTTTCCTTGGAGCAATGTTGGAAGGTATGCAACATTGTGCTCAGAAATGTACTGGGAGCCAGTGAAGATCCTTTAGGACTGGTGTTATATGGTCCCAGGGGCCACTCTCAGTACCAGTCTGCTGCATTCTACATTAGTTTTAGTTTCCAAGTCACCTTCAAAGGTAGCCCCACATAGAGCACATTGCAGTATTCAAACAGCAGATAACCAGCATGTGTACCACTCTGGTAAGACAGTGCACAAGCAAGTAGGGTCTCAGCCGGCATACCAGGTGGAGCTGATAGACAACCGCACTGGACACAAAATTAATCTGCACCTCCATGCAGTGGCATAGCGTGGGGGGTGCAGGGGGGGCCGGCCGCACCGGGCGCAACATCTGGGGGGGGGCGCACTCACACTCGCAGCTCTCTGCCCCTACCTGGCTCACTCATTCTCTCTCACTGCAGTGCTGGCTGTGCGAATCCGATCCGAGCTGCTGGGTCGCCGCCCACTGTGGAGGGGGTGGGTGCCAGGCGTGCGGTGCGGAGAGAGAGCGAGGGACTATCTGGGGGAGGGACAGTGCAGCGGCCGCCCAGCGCAGCGCTGAGCGCGGGAGAGAACCACACCAGACCAGACCAGGCAGCAGCAAGAAGAAGCTGGCAGCGGCGGCAGGTTAGGGGTTAGGGGGCGCAAATTACTTGCCTTGCCCCGGGTGCTGACAACCCACGCTACGCCGCTGCCTCCATGGACAGCTGCAAGTCCAAAATGACTCCAGAATGCACAATGGAGGGGTTGCCTCTTTGGAGCATTCTCTCATCAAATAAAATAAGCAGCCAAGAGTTATTTTTGCTTCCTCTGCAGCGCCCTATTCTTGGGGAAGGTGATCAAGCATGTGGCGGCAGGACAACTCCGGAGACTGTTGCATAATACTGATTGCGATAATTTATCGGTCTGGCTTCTGGCCCAGTTTCCGCGTAGAGTCTGCCTTTGATGACTATCTCTGGAAGAAGAATAGTGAACCCTAGATCTCTCAGTAGCTTTTTCTCCCATCAACCATAGTACCCTTCATGACTGGCTCTCAGGGTTAGGGAACAGAGGCATCTTTTCCCAGCCATCCCTTTCTCACCTGTTTGACAGGTTCCAGAAGATGGTGCCTCAGGTTAAAGCAGCTCCATCTCTTAAGCGTTGTCTCAAGCAGTGCCACAAATATTCATCTCCCGCACCATCTTAACATTTGCTTCAAATCCCCAGGGGAGATTTGCCAGAGGTTTGAGCTCAAGTGCTACTGTGCTGGTGACACCCAGTTCTGCATCTCCTGATAATATTATTATTAATAATAATAATAATATGGGGGAATGTCTGCATATGACAATTATTCCCAAGTAAGGGGGAGTGGCAACAAAATGTTGCAGTGTGGGGTGCTCCTGGTCAGGGTTCTGACCAAGCAGGGAGCCAGCAACACTTTTCTGAGATACTTCGTTCCATTATTCTTATCCCTGGGTCCACACCCAAAAGTCAGCCGGCATTTTGTGACTACTGAGTAGGCTTCAGTCCTTATGGGGCTTGGGGTGAGGGGCTCACCCGGTTTTATTTTTTTCCTAAACATTTATCGTACTTCTGCAAACGTGGGGTTTTCCCCAAATGAATACTTTCCTTCTTGTGCTTCAGCTATGTAAGATCCACACACAGATACTGAAATCATTGTTAGCAATGGGATGGGATAGACCAGGGACGGCCAACTTCCAAGAGACTGCGATGATCTACTCACACAATTATAAACTGGCAGTGATCTACCCCTTTTGGGGGGGGGGGTTGGGTCAAAGTTGTTGAGCTTTTTTATGCAGGAATGATGTGCAGTCTAATTCTCTATGTATTAATTTTGATCCCTTGAAAACGAGAGTAAGGACAAGGCGATATTCTTTCTGAGCTCATAGGAAAGGGCAGCTCAATTTGTTTTCAAATATGGCAGATGCAGTTGGATACCAATTAAACTGAACCAAAAAATATAAATCATCATTGGTTTTTTAATTATTATTCTGATAACTGGCAGATAAAATATGCGAGTTACAAGATGTTACAATTTTGGGGGTGGGTGGGGGAACCTCACTGGCCCAATTAAGCACAATTTCACCTGCACAGTATCACCTGATCAACACTTAAACATGTCTCGGACTATATCGCTTTGCCGCTGCACCCTGTAAGAGCCTATTGTCTGAGGAAACAGGCCATAAACTATGGGCTGGGTTGGTGCTGCCCTCTAGGGGCTGTCCTGCATGGACTGCAATAGCAGGTGTCACTCAAATCAATCCTCAAAGGAGGAATCAGCCTTCACACATGTACACAGAAGTGTTTCAAGAGTTTCGGCATCAACATCAAACACCAGGTCACAATGTTCTATTTGTATCTCTGGGAAATAACCAGAGACTCAAGGCAACAGCTGGCAGGAAGCATCTAGTGAACTCAATTCAGCGCCAAAGTGCGATATACGGAAAAGGTGCCACGTTGCACAGATTTCTGTGAACGTTTTCACCATGTAAATGGCACTGCATATGCAGAGGCTACAATTGCAATAAACTACAGGAACAAAGGGACGCGAGTGGTACTGTGATCTAAACCACTGAGCCTCTTGGGCTTGCCAATCGGAAGGTCGGCGGTTTGAATCCCCGCGACGGGGTGAGCTCCTGTTGCTCAGTCCCAGCTCCTGCCAACCTAGCAGTTCAAAAGCATGTCAAAGTACAAGTAGATAAATAGGTACCGCTCCGGTGGGAAGGTAAACAGCATTTCCGTGCACTGCTCTGGTTTCACCAGAAGCGGCTTAGTTATGCTGGCCACATGACCTGGAAAAACTGTCTGCGGACAAACGTCGGCTCCCTCGGCCAAAAAAGCGAGATGAGCACCGCAACCCCAGAGTCATTCATGACTGGACTTAACTGTCAGGAGTCCTTTACCTTTTTACTGGGGAAAGGCACAGGGTCAGCACAGGAGCTCCTTGGCTTCTAGGAAATCAGGTGCATGGAAGCAAGTTTGAGGCTCAATCCAAGACAAGGGGATGATAGCTCTCGAACTAATTGGGGATTATTTTGTGTTTGCTGATAAGAGCTCCATTGTGTTTGCATGATTAAATCAATGGAAGGCAGGCAAAAGCATTCAGGTGCCAAAGCAGTATGTTGCATCAGCCATTTCCCCCACATTTATATTGACAATCACATTAAATGAGACACACACATTGTACACACTCAAAAAGCCTGTATTCTTCAGGAGCGATCCTGTCAGAACACCAAAGTCCAATAAATAACATTTACAAGAAAACTGAAGCGCAACAGTTACGATGTTGAGTTTGTAACATGGATACAAATATGGATTGACAGCTCAATGAGGTCATTCGTGTCAAATCAAATAACTAAAATTGCACACGAGACAAGGGGAAAGTAATAAGCAGCTCAAAGTAACAGCACGCTGAACTGAAAAATAAAACCTATACCGTTTCCAAGCCAGTTTAAAGCGAAAAGTGCTACAAAATTGCCATCCACCTAGTTTCTGATCTTCCACTTCTCTAGTTTCCAAGTTGTATAAACTATTCCATAAAATACAAGAGGTGTTCATGTTGAGTCTCAAGTAAGTTTCAAGGAAATATAAGTTTAGAAGTCCACATTTCTACCCCAGTGTCACCTCAGTCAACAGCATCGTCAAATTGGCCTTCCACTGGCATAGTCTCTACCTGTCTCCAAGTCACCGGTGCTACATGGTGCAAGCTTGGGTCATACAAAGGCTTTTCTCGAACTGAACATGCCACTGGCTCTTGATCCAAGAAACCTCCGCCGTGAATCACATCTTCAAAATCTGTTGAGTGATTTTAAATCAATATGATTATGTCTATAAAGCTGTTTTCAACAGGCTGCAATTCTAAGAACCCACGCTAGGGAATAAGGCCCTCTTGACATCAGAGCAAATTATTTTTGATAACAATTATTCCTCTCATCCCACCCTTCCTCCAATAAGCCTAGGGCAGGATACATGGAGAGGATATCATTTTATCTTGTCAACAACCCTTAAGGCCATGTTGTCAGCTTTCTTCCTTGAGCCAAGAGAACAGAAAGCTAAATACATGCACAAAATTGGATCTCAAGAGTGTTTATCAGTGTGTGCTTATTCTGCAATTCGGTTGCAACTCTCATCAAAGGATATCAACTTACTTAAGTAGTATGTCAACTCACTTTAGCCTTATAAAGGTCTATGCTGAACACAATGAAATTTGGATCCAAGTTGTTAAGTAAAATAACATGGCAAGAAAATTTGTTGTTGGTTGTTGTTGTTGTTGTTGTTGTTGTGCCACTGAATAATTAATTTCCCCTTCCTTCACCACTCCACACATATTGCAATAAGCATGTCAGCAAGTCATGCAGAACAAGTGGAAACTTCCTCTATTGATTAGAACAAGTTTCAGGAAGATAATATTCTCCAGCGCTACTGCTCACTAACTGCTCAAACCACAGGTCTATGCTGTACGTAATCCAGAAGTGGTAGCACCAGAGTACATCATGTTGAGTAGAGCAATATGTGTGTATGTCTGATGGCTGCTAGACTACAAGCCCTGGCCTGTTTCCCTCTCTGCTTGCTTTCTCAGGGGCTTTTCCCAACCATCTGTGATGTACTGGGAGAAGGTAACTAGGCGAGACAGTCAGCCAACCCAGACCAACAGCAAGGAAGTATCGCTGCTTCCAGAGCACCAGCTCAGAATGGGAATGGCCAGAGGGCTCAGGAGAAACGGCTCAACAAACTGCTGCTGCCGCCGCCACCCAACAGCACCTGCTACCAGAAGCGGCTGATTTACTCCGCCTCATGACAGGGCTGGCCTTACAAGAAGATGGGATGTACGTTTTGTCAATGTAGTCTCGACAACCACTGCATCTAGGTGCCAAGTAGATTTTGATCTTTAGCTGTCTTACAACTGCTTTTTCAAAAGACTGGTGCATATACCCGGCCTACTCTGTTCTCCCAGACTGCTCCACTCTCTCACACATCTAATGCTGTTGCTATGAACTGAGTGACACATGTAGTCTTAGATTGCGTATCTCCAAAGTTTCACAGATTAAAAGAGATACCTTTTTTGTTCTTGAAACATCCCTATTTTTACACCACACTCTGTCCTCTATAGACGGGTGGGTTAAAAAAAACATGTCCATAGTAGCTTCCTTTTAAACACCCACCCACACCCCTTAAGTTTTAATCTCATACTCAATTTGGTACAACTTATTCAAAGAATACTTTTTTTAAAAATTCATGGATATGACTATGAATGGCTAATAGTCATGAAGCTATGTACCACCACAGGCATCAGAGCTGGTATACCTCTGAATACCAGCTGCTGGGAATCACAAGTGCTATTAAACTTATCTCCTGCTTATCGGATTCTCACAGACATTTATCTGGCTGGTCACCATGAGAACAGCATGCTGGACTAGCAATCCAACAAGCTCTTTTTATGTTCTTATGACACTTTTATTGGCCTATCGCAAGAGCAGTTCTAAAGAAATCTTCCCACAATGCACCTCTCCCTAGACACCTGGCTTTCTAGCATTTCTTCTTTTCTTTTTTTAAAAAGAACCATGTTGAAGCATCCACCTACCATAAGGATTGCTATTGTTTTCGTTGTCTTCCAACTCTTTATCCCAGTCCTCTTCTACATAGTGAGATACAGTTTTCGTCTCAATAAAAGCTGCATCTGTGGGCATGCTTAAGTCTTCGCCATCTGACTCAGAGTCTTCGTAGGGTGACTCAAAGTCTTCCAATTCCTCAAGGGCGCTTTTCGCTTTCTCCACCGCATGTTCTGCCAAACCTATAAAGAAAGAAGCCTTTGTTGATTTATTTGATAAATTAAACAGCAAAATGGATCCAGAAACCTAGGGAGTTTGATAGGTTAAGGCGATAAATCAGCTTAGCCATTTCCTCACTTCATTGTACGTGGCAGCAGAAAACAACTGCTGTTGTTTGAGGCGATCTTTGAATATTACAAATTCCCACCTGGTAATCATTTAGTATCAAATATTGTCTGAGGTTTCCCTTTCAGTTTTAACGGATATTATTTCATAAAGCTAGTTGACTGAGGAAAACAAGGGATAAGTAAAAACGTAACTAGTTGGGAGGGGAGGCAGTTCAGGGCAACATTGGCAACTGTTGCGAAGGGAATCTGAATGTTGGTCAAGTGGCGGTTGGGGCAGTTAGCGCAGAGAGAGGAAGGGATGGTGCGGTTAAGTGAAAAAAAAGAAAATGTTGTCATGGGTTTGTGAAGCACATCCAAGGAAGGAAGACTGGTCGTTCTGGGAATGACTGTGGCAGAGAGACGGAAGAATGATGGGGTGCAGAATGACTGTGAGGTAGCCAGCAACTTTCATGGAATAGTGTGAAATGCTGGGTGACACCGCGTCATCCAAAAGGGATGCAACTGGGGGACAGAACAGAAGTGTTAGTCTCATTGTACAAGAGTGGATCAGGGGTACCATCTTGGAATAAAATATTGCGGGGTGGGGTGGGGGGCAAGTAAGCCTTGCATAATTGATTGATCACATTGCCACAGTGCACAGACACCATTTGAATGGTAATGACCATCAGCCGGGGGGGGGCCTCAAATATTTTATTGGGGGGGGAGACGCGAAGACCCCTTGGCCCCTAGGAGTTGGCTCCTATGGGATGGATACATGCTAGGGGTTACTCCATCCAACATTTATAACAAAAGTTGTTTCAGCTAGCAAAAGTGTTTGTGTAATCTTCAAAACTCCCTTCCCAGGTCGCAAACTTGGTTTCCAGCTCTCATGGTAGCACTTCCTTGTTCAGTTTATAGCCTCACAGCTCTCATCGTAAGAGTTGGAAGGGTCCCCAAGGGTCATCAGGTCCAACCCCTGCTGTGCAAGAATCTCAACTAAAGCATCCTTGACAGATGACCATCCAACCTCTGCTTTAAAAGCTCCAAGGAAGGAGAGTCCACAACCTTCCGAGGCAGACCATTCCACTGTTGAATGGCTCTTACTGTCAGAAAGTTCTTCCTGATGTTTAGTCGGAATCTCCTTTCTTGTAACTTGAAGCCATTGGTTTGAGTTCTACCCTCTGGAGCAGGGGAAAACAAACTTGCTCCATCTTCCATGTGACAGCCCTTAAGATATTTGAAGATGGCTATCATATCTCCTCTGAGTCTCCTCTTTTCCAGGCTAAACATACCCAGCAACTTCAACTGTTCCTCAAAAGGCTTGGTTTCTAGACCCCTGATCATCTTGGTTGTCCTCCTCTGCACACGTTCCAGTTCATGGAGATAAAAACATAGCCACAGCAGGCTCCAACAGTTTGACTTCAACCCCCGAAGGCGCACTCTTCCACTGTCTCCCGAGAGGGCAGATCCCAGCGATATATGTATGTAATATTATAAGGAGCTACCATCTACTGAACAAGACCAGCAAGGACTAGCAGTGGCTGTCCTCTTTCCCAGTTCTGCTACTCAAAGTCTCTTACAGGGATTGAGAGCTTGGGAGATATACTGTACAAGGTACGGTATGTATTCTACTATTGAACTACAGGGCCTTCTCCCAGGAATATGGGAATCTCTGGTATTCAAAGCTAAGATTGTACTTCTCAGCCATTTCCTCCCCACCCCAAAAAAGTACCTTTTCCAGGCCTCCAGCTGAAAGTCTTCACCACTTCAAATTCCTCCTGTCCAGCAAAAGCAGATGCATCAGCCTTTTTCTAGCGGGGGAAAACATTTAAGAAGTCAAATGATCCACATCTTTGATTGGATTCCTCATGAGATTGGCTGTTACTGGACAATAAATTATCCTATTATTGAGCTTTTGGTAACCATCTCTTTATTTTTGAAAGATTGTGTTGAATTACCTTTCGGTGAGCAAAATGTTTGTGACCTATTTGTGTATATTTTTAATGCTGATTTCACCGTTATGACCTATTTGGTTAACTAAATTGTCAGATGATGATTCCTAACGTATGTTATGGAAATTATTAGCCTACTCGTGTAACCTCATGAGAACAATCACAACACTTGTCTTAAGAAAATGTTTCCTTCTACCACAATATACAAATGCACTGGCACACTTGCTTCCCTGGAGTCAAAAAAGGAAGCCATATAAAGAGGTACACACTCCAACCCTCCTGCTCAGAGGCAGGAAATTTTATTTCTAAAGAAGGGTGTCAACAAGTTTATCCAAATGAACAAAAAACCTCTAAATCTCCACCCATTTGTTCACCTGATAATGCTCATTCTTTGTCTTTGTCAGGAGCAGAACAACAGAAGATATAGGATCAACCACAGGGAAACACTCTACAGATTTTTTTTAAGCCCTCAGAAAGTAAATAATTTATCCAGCAATCCCCAGAATAATACAAAATGCCTCAGATGCAGAAAGGCCCATATTAATTTCCACTCCCTCCAAAACGTAATAATAATTCTGGAGGACTGTATAGAAGTTTGAACTCCACCTTACTTCATCCAAGAAAAAGCCGGTACCCTGGGAAACTGTTCTTTACAAGAGCAGAGGAAATGTGAGTCTCCAGCAATAAAACCACTAGCACATTTGCAAAGCTAAGCAGGGTCCGGTATGGTTTCAAATGGGATGGGGAACCTCATGTTCCTGCATTTTAGGGTTGCCACCTGTCCTGTATAATGCAGGACTGTCCCATATTTAAATGTCAAATGCTAGTCCTGTATTCACAACAGTTTTGTCCTGTATTTCAGAGCTCTCTCTCTGCCAAGTTAGGGATCCTCTCCAAATGCATGTGTTGGAAAGGGTGTGCGAAAGGTCATGCATTCAAGTTGTGCGTAGCCAAGCACAAGACATATTTACAATTTCATGTGTATGCATGTGTGCACGTGTGTGTGACAAACTTCAGAGCAGCCATCCTGTTAGGCTGCAACAGCTTGCAACGGATTGCTTTGAAGGGAGAGTGACAACTTGAATAAAACATAATCCATCGCTAGACACAGCACATACAATCTGAATGGCAATGCCCAACAACTTTGGGGTAGCCTGGCCCCCTCAAATATTTTATTGGGGCGTGGACCTTGGCACCTATGCTTTGAAATCACTTCAGTATCAATTTCTTTATTTAAAAAACCCATCCCCCAACCTCCCCGCCCCACATTTTGCCAGAACAAGAGTAGCAGCACAATGTTGGACTCGACAACCCTCACAGGTTTCCTTCCAATTCAGCAATTCTCAATTCCCCCTTGTTGGGGGACCTGGGCATAACCCACGAGGGGCAGTTGCCCCCCCAAAAAAAGTATTAAAAATCAATAGAAACACTTCAACAAACTGAAGTTCTGCTCCTCCTAACAGAAGCCTGCCACACCCCCACCTAATGTCCTCTTTGGGGGGGGGGGGCATCCAGGTTTCCTTTTACATGTTAAAGCTGTGATTCCCAACCAGGGGGGGCAATTCGAAAATAATATCTCAGTGAATGGCATTTTAGGCTTCCTCCACGTGAAGAGGAGTTCACCTGTTGAATAAGAAGAATTTAGGAAGCATTAGGATATGTGAAGCATTAGGATTTGAGAGATGCTTAGGTGGGGCATGACCAAAAACAAAGGTTGTAAAGGACCCGCTCGACAGCTGTTCGTGAGACCTCCTTCCTCACCCTCCCAAAAAAGTAGCTGGACATTTCGAAGGTGAGCACAAGCTTAACACGTGTTTCCTCCCCCTGCACGTGAACTCCAGAGCCTCTTTCTCTCTCTCCTGTCCCGTGGCCGTTTTCCCCTCACCCGCTGCTCTGGGAGGAGGAGGCGCCCCGGAGGCTCGCGCTGCCCGACCGCCTCCATGCGCGCGCTGCCGCGCGGCCAGAGTCCTCCCCTCAGTCACAGAGTCACCCGGACACAACCGGCGCCCGCCCCGAAATGCAGCGGCGCCGCCACTTGCTCCGCGGCCGCAGGCGCGCGCGTGTCACGTGGCCTACCCTCGGGGTGCTCCCCTTGAGCAGCCGACCAATCCGATCGCGGAACCAAGAAGCTGATCCCTTGGGAACCCTCCCCCCCGCGCGCGCCCCTGCCGGTGTCTCGCCTGCCCGCCGCATGCGTGGGTGAGGGCGCAGAGCGGGTTGCGCCCTGCAGCTTGCCTTATTATTATTAGTAGTAGTAGTATATAGAAGTTTGAACTCCACCTCACACCATCCATCATTATTACTGTATAGAAGTTTGAACTCCACCTCACATCATCCATTATTATTATTATTATTATTATTATTATTACTATATAGAAGCTTGAACTCCACCTCACACCATCCATCATTATTACTGTATAGAAGTTTGAACTCCACCTCACATCATCCATTATTATTATTATTATTATTATTACTATATAGAAGCTTGAATTCCACCTCACACCATCCATCATTATTACTGTATAGAAGTTTGAACTCCACCTCACATCATCCATTATTATTATATTACTGTATAGAAGTTTGAACGCCACTTCACATAATCCATTATTATTATTATTATTATTATTACTGTATAGAAGTTTGAACTCCACCTCACATCATCCATTATTATTCCGGTGATTATTTATTTTTGGGTATGCACGCGTACTCAGGAGGAATTCGCTTTGTCCTGTGTCTGAAAGGATTGTTGGCATGCGAGCCAGCACTGCACGAGTTTTGCCTTATTATGCTTTCTAAACTCGTGTTTATGTTTAAAACTCATAAAATCATTTACCCAGAGCATGCTACAGGTTTCAACTGGGCAGTGGTGTTACGACATCTGTTTGAAAACATGGGCCAGTGGAAACATTTTATTACATTTGGAGTCTTGACACAGGACAGTGGCACAGAGTTTTGTTTTTCCCCTAAAATAATGGATGCAAGAATTCAACACTGCCTGGAAGTCGTAGTAGCACCCTATAGTCACACCTCGGGTTACAGACGCTTCAGTTTGCGTTTTTTCGGGTTACGGACTGCCGACACCCAGAAGTACTGGAACGGGTTACTTCTGGGTTTCGGCGGTTGCGCATGCGCAGATGCGCTAAATCGCGCTTTACGCATGCACAGAAGCACCGAATCGCAACCCATGTGCACACAGATGCGCCGCTGCGGGTTGCAAACACTACAGGTTGCGAACGTGGATCCCGCACAGATCCCGTTCGCAACCTGAGCATCCACTGTATTTTATATTTTAGCTTTCAACTGTATGCCCGCAAACTTTGGGTTGCATCTATTGAAATCTAAATGCAAGTGCACCGATGAGCACGTTCTGTTAACTGCATTCTTGTGCGAACTCTTCTGCTAGGACTTGGAAGAATGTGGAAGTGCAGCCAATATGCCTGCAACTGCATGTCTGTTAGTGGAAAGCAATAGCTGGAGTGCACTTTCCCCCTTAAAATATGTTTGCAAGCAGTGTCTCTGAGATCTGAAGCCTTGGGCCAGCAAACGTTGCTTTCCAGCATTTGTCTTCCAGCCACTGGGGTATCGTTTTGCAGTGTGCAACCCAGCTATTTATTTGGGCTTGATCTGCCCTAGACAAGGTGTTTATAAAAGAATCAAAACAAAATAAATCCAGACGGGAGGAAAAACAGCAAAGGATTTTGTGCAAATGGATGTACTTGGATTTCACATTACTTTTTAGTGCAATGCGGTACTTGCTAAGGCAAAAGTCTGAAGTGAAGAGGCTTTCTGCTTGCAGGAGGACATCTTTAGATACAATCTATTGGTACATTTTAAATTTAAAAACTTCATGAGACCAAACTGACCAATCAGTCTGAAGTTCCTTGCAACTTGAGTAATATCAACGCATTCCAAAAAAATCTGACAGAGTGATTGGATATTAGACTGTTAATGATACTTTGGACATCACTGTTACTGGCTCTATATGCACTGCTAACTAGTTAATGTCCAAAAGTCAGAAATCCTATTTATTTAAATACTCTTTATTATTGTACTTGCAGACCACTCTTCAGTGTATGTCACAAGGTGGATTTGAAAAATGTGACAAAGCAAATAGATTTTACAAAAAACACACAGTAAAACCACAAAACAGTGTTATGGGATGGGGGGGATTTCTCTTAAGCAGGGCAAACCCTAGTTCAGGCTATTACTTTGAACTAGAGATGTCTCTTGTAACAACTTTGAGAGTCCAAATGAGCTAGTTTAATATGGGTATAACAAATTAATCAATTGTGTAACAATAAACAGCTAGAAGAGCCAGGGAAAAATTGGTTACTGCAATAAATTTAGGTAGGTAGCCATGTTTGTCTGACGCAGTCAAAATAAATTAAAAAATTGTCCAGTAGCACTTTAGAGACCAAGTAAGTTTGTTCTGGGTATAAGCTTTCATGTGCATGCACACGAAAGCTTATACCCAGAACAAACTTAGTTGGTCTCTAAGGTGCTACTGGACAATGCAATAAATTTATTTGTTTGTTTGTATAGCGCTCTTCATCCAAAGATCTCAAGGTGGTTCATACCAATGTAAGCTTTTCTTTCCGTGTCTTCCGTATTACGGATCAACAGAACACACACAACAATGTGCCAACTGTTTCCTCTAACTCCACTCTCATGTTCTTATAGTTCTTTTTTTTCCATTGGAGTACGCCGTATGAACACCAGTCAGAATCTTTTATCCACCCATCAAAAAACCAACAATGAAGAGAGAAGGCCCCCCCAAAAATATATTTATTTGCCTTTGGGTTACAAATTTACAAACAACATTTAAAGTAGGTTTAGCTCTTAAGATAAGACACATCTAGGATTACATATCTCACAGGTGTCCAGTTTGCAGCAATGTGTACTTTGAAATAAAAGTTTCAACTTGTTCTCCCTGCAACATTTTCATCGCCCTCCAGTGAATGCTGCCGCAGTTCTCAGGTTTGCCTTGGGACTGAGTCAGTTCCTCTCTGATGTAATCCAGCCAAATATCTTCAAAGGAAGAAAAAAGGCTAGTTAATATTGTGATAATGGAAATGCCCCCATGGGCCCAAAACTTAGCAACACATGATCCTATGTATGTTCCACCATTGGGGTATACGTGTGGAGTGGGTTTTTTTTGCAAAATCTGGGACTAAAAACTTAGCAGTTGCTATAGTACTTACAATAGCTCCTTTTTAAAGATTATGTACTCCGCATCAAAGATGAGAAAGTGGTTCCAGCAGAAGTGGTGGGTTTCGATTTACGTTATGGTGTACAGTGGTGCCCCGCAAGACGAAAAGAACTCGCATGACTGGAAGTCCCGCTCGCCTAGCGGTTTTTCCGTCTTTGAAGTTAGCTTCCATGGACGGGATTAGCGGATTAGCGCTATTGCAGCGGCAATGTCTTAGCAGGCTCTTAGCGGTTTTTAGCAGCTCATCAGCTTATCTAGCCATAAGCGGCTAATAGCCTTTTAGCAGCAAAGCGCTGAGCGCAAAGGCTATAATAGCCGCTAGAACCGCTAAGAGCATTCTCATCTGCTAAGCAAGCCCATAGCAGGTTGCTTTGCGAGGCACTCCAAAACGGAAAACTCTTTCGCTAGACGAAGACACTCGTCTGGCAGGTTAATTTCGTCTTGCGGGGCACCACTGTATGTTGAACAAGGGTCGCGGGTGGCGCTGTGGGTTAAACCACAGAGCCTAGGACTTGCCAATCAGAAGGTCCGCGGTTCGAATCCCCACGACAGGATGAGCTCCTGTTGCTCGGTCCCTGCTCCTGCCAACCTAGCAGTTCGACAGCACACCAGTGCAAGTAGATAAATAGGTACCGCTCCGGCGGGAAGGTAAACAGCATTTCCGTGCACTGCTCTGGTTCGCCAGAAGCGGCTTAGTCATGCTGGCCACATGACCCGGAAGCTGTACGCCGGCTCCCTCGGCCAATAAAGCGAGATAAGCGCCGCAACCCCAGAGTCAGTCACAACTGGACCTAATGGTCAGGGGTCCCTTTACCCCTATATGTTGAACAATGCAGACATTGATGATGAGCAACCTTTGGGCCAAGTCCAGAGTAAAATAACTTGTGCACAACTTTTAAAAAAATATCCCTTTCCTGTACATTGGATGGCTCTGGCTACCACAGGCTTATGGCCAGCCCCCAGGTTAGCCAGATGCTTAATTCTGGGGATTTGAGGGGTGGTGTGGGGATTTCATCTGAGGGACGTTGCTATTTGGGCTGCCTGCTTATTTAGCTGCCGACTTCATCCTTATTACCAGGCATAGGCAAACTCCGGCCCTCCAGATGTTTGGGACTACAATTCCCATCATCCCTAGCTAACAGGACCAGTGGTCAGAGATGATGGGTACTGTAGTCCCAAACATCTGGAGGGCCGGAGTTTGCCTATGCCTGCTTATTATGATTCTGGCCTAAGTAGGTTCTCAAGATGACACGCAATAAAATCCAGTTTTTTGCGTGCGTGTGTTTAAATTTACTCTAATCAAAATGCAGATGGAAGGAAGAGAAGATCTCTGGTTATACCCACAACACTTGAAGAAATAAAACTTCTTACCAGGGTCTGTGGCACCGAATTCTCTCAAGGCACGTTCATAATATTCTCGGATATTGGACATTTTACAGGATTCCTTGGAGGTAGAAAAAAAGGGGGGGATAACTAAGGATGCTGAGCCAAAGGTTACAGCTGTTAAATATACTTGCCAAGTACATAAAACAGTGTGTTGCTATTTAGTCCTTCAGCCCATGAATTAAAAGGGCACAGGAATAAGAGCAGAAGCTGTGACAGGCTTGGGCAATAAAGTATTGAGAAGCTTTCCCCTCTCACATGGCACTTTTCCTGCCTCACCGCCCAAACCCATAGCCTTGAATGCTTCCCCTCCTATTCCTTCTCCACTACCCCACCACACCCCCTGGAGCTCCCTGAAAACTATCCATAAAACACACATACAGTGGTACCTCGGGTTAAGTATTTAATCCGTTCTGGAGGTCTGTTCTTAACCTGAAACTGTTCTTAACCTGAAGCACCACTTTAGATAATGGGGCTTCCTGTTGCCGCCGCGCCACCAGAGCACAATTTCTGTTCTCATCCTGAAGCAAAGTTCTTAACCTGGGTTAGTGGAGTCTGTAACCTGAAGCGTATGTAACCTGAAGTGTATGTAACCTGAGGTACCACTGTATTCCTATCCAACCAGATACAACCATGGGCAGCAACTAACGTGAAAGTTAAAAACATTCAGAAAGCACACAGAGGAGGCTGTTTTATTCTAAGACAGAACGCAAGTCTATCCAGCTCAGAACTGGCTGGCAGTGGCTCTTCAAAGTTTGGGGCAGGGTTATCTCTCAGCCCTACCTGAAGCTGCCAGGATTTGAACCTGGGACCTTATGCATGCAAAGCAGATGATCTACCACTGAAGGCAGCCCTGTATAGGGAAGCTTTTAAAGGTTCAATGTTTTGCTATGTCTTTATTATATACGCTGGAAGCCGCCCAGAGTGGCTGGGGCTACCCAATCAGATGGGCGGGGTACAATTAATTATTATTATTATTACTACTACTATTATTATGCTAGACTACCAAAGAGTAGGCACTGATCTATGGGCCTTTTCGGGGCCATACGCCTTTTAGTGCCCCCACGACAATGTATCAAAATTGGTTTATTAAAATTGTTGGTTGGTAAAATAAAAATAAAAAATGTACTAGGCATCCACAACGTCTAATCTGACACTGTGGAGCTATGACCTTTTCCCCAAACAAACAAAAAAAGTATAAAAAAATAAGCAACATCTCTAGCTGTTTAAGGCTTTCAGAAAACAACACAACATTTTGAGTCATGTCAGGAAACAGAATAGCAACGATGCACTTGATATAGGTCAAATCCTTTAAAGAAGTTTCCAGATGTTTTCTAAAAAGGCACCTTATAGTAGTCCAATCCCAACATATTCCAGCATATTAACCGCTGCTCCCTTTGGAAAATTCACAGTGGCACATGCCTCTAATGATACAGAACATCCTAAAACTAAGTTTGTCCTAAGTTACGTTACTTACTTGCTCCTTTTCAATCTGAATCATCTTCTTGAAGAACTCGAGGGAAAACGGACGGCTTTCATGCAAACTAGGAAATAAAGATGGTGTGTGAGGGATTCAGTTTTTAAAAAACCATCAGAGAAAGCGGAAGAAATAAATAATTGTATTTCTGTATATGTGTGTGTGTGTGTGTGTGTGTGTGTGTGTGTGTGTGTGTTTCAGAAGGAGTTCTTCTAACCTGGTAAAGACTTTCTTTGCTTTCTTATAGCCACCAGCCCTGTACGCCCATTCGATATACTTTTCCTTCATGGTTACCGAGTCAGCAGGCAGCGTGGCAAGCAAAGATCTCTGCAAGTTAAAAAAGAATGTGAGCACATTCAGAAAATACCTGTGAAGCTCTTAAGCACATGTCATGGACTATGAGGAACCAGCATATTTTGATCTGAAGTGGGATATTTCAACCCAGAGAGCTAAGGATTCAAATAGAGAGCAGGACTAGTGTACACAGATGGAATAATTCTGATTCAACTAACTTTAGCAAATCTGAGTACATCTTGTAATTTTGAGACTGTCCTTTCCAAATCAATATACAGTCATACCTTGGTTTTCGATCAGCTTAGTTCTCGAATGTTTTGGCTTCCGAATGCCGCAAACACTGAAGTGACTGTTCTGGTTTGTGAACTATTTTTGGAAGCCGAACATCCGACGGGGCTTCCGACTGGCTGAAGGAGCTTCCTGCAGCCAATCAGAAGCTGCGCTTTGGTTTCTGAACGTTTTGGAAGTCGAACGGACTTCCGAAATGTTTGAAAACCGAAAACTCAACAGCTGACAGCTTGGCCTCAGGATCTTGCACTCAGCAGAAGCCAGGTGGCATGTTTGACTTCCATGGAGTGTTCGAAAACTGAAATATTCGTCAACAGAGACGTTCGAAAAACCGAGGTACCACTGTATTGAGAAACGGGGATTGTGTCTGAATGCATTCATACACACATTTATATTTGGGGTGCTTTCAATGGGTGTGCCCCCCCTTTGAGTATTACTGTCTCCAGTCATTCCCCTCCTTCTCCCCCTTTCTTGCCCCCCCCTCCTGCTTTGCTTCCACTTCTCTATTGTCAGAGACAACTCACATCTTCAGCAAAGGCTTTCCCCAAGTATGGCAGCCAGATCGGACACTGTCTTCCCTCGCCAAAGCCCTTGAGCCCAACTTAGTCTGGCTCCTGTACTCTACAAGGCTGTCTTGGGATCACATAATTTCTTTGACCTGCAGATTACCAAGCACAGTGCTGGCTCTAAAATTAATGCTAACATGATAATGTTGCTAGTAAAACTATTGCCATCTGCTTTCCTGAATAGTTCTACCCATGCTGAGCTGTTGTTGTTTTCAAATAGGACATGTAATACCTGATAGAGTGCTTCCGTTTCAGGAGTGCTATTGACATTCTCACTCCATTCTGTACATAGAATCCATAACGGCAAGCTGTCCTAGTGGTAGGAAGAGAGAAAAATTAATGTATTTTTAAAAATAATTTTTATTGAATGGTTTTATGTTATAGAAAACAATACAACCATACTACCACTAAATATAATTAAGAAATAAAAATTACATACATCGATATTTAGTTTGTTATTTGTTATTTACTGTCTTATTTCCTCCCAAACATTGCATACAACAACACACATATGTGCAGACACCCACACACCCACACCCGCACAGAAAATGATAATAATGAAAGTAAATAATTTTCCCCCTTTTATCTTCCAAAATCTTTTCTTCAACTATGACTTCCTGTCAAGTCCCTTTGCATATGTTTTATCTTACATTTGAATGTACTCAAAACAATAAACCTTTCTATATAAATTGAGAAAAATTAATTTTAGGCCATGGAAATACTGGGCATGATATGTTGGATGCGAGGCACACACATAGAAGCCAGACCCAGCATTTGAGGCTATGTGACAGCTATGAAACATATTTTTAAAAGCCACCAGAAAGCCCAGCGAGGGCTAGGAGATTAGGATGGCAGCAGAATTAATGCACTTATCTTCTTATTGGAGGGGTCTAGGCATATCAAGCACCTGGAACCCCTTGCTGCAGAGGATAATATCAATGGGGACAATATTAGGTGAGACCTTTGTTCTAATTACAGGTGTTTAGGCAAGTAACTTAACCCTTAACTTAAGCATTACAAGCAAGGGGTGTGTGGCACACCATCTTAGTAACTCTGGGGTGTCCCCATAGTCATGTGCCTTTCCCCAAGTTGCAGCTGCTGCCCACCCCCGTGGAGTGCAACTTATACAAATTATTATTATTATTATTATTATTATTATTATGCCTATCTGACTGGGTGGCTTCCAACAAATTAAAACACATCAAACATTAAAAACATACAGGGCTGCCTTCAGATGTCTTCTAGAAGCCAGATAGTTCTTTACTTCCTTGACATCTGATGGGAGGGCGCCACCACCAAGAAGGCCCTCTGCCTGGTTCCCTGTAACTTCACGTCTCACAGTGAGGGAACTGCCAGAAGGCCTTTGGAGCTGGATCTCAGTGTCTGGGCTGAATGATAGGGGTGGAGACACTCCTTCAAGTATGCAGGGCCAAAGCCCTTTAGAGCTTCAAAGGTCAGCACCAACACTTTGAATTGTGCTTGGAAACGTACTGGGAGCCAATGTGGTCTCAGCGGCCGCTCCCAGTCACAAGTCTGGCAGTGGCATTCTAGATTAGTTTTAGTTTCCGAGTCACCTTCAAAGGTAGCCCCCCAGAGAGTGCATTGCAGTACTCTAAGCACAATGGCATGCATACAAGACACCCTCCCACCATGGCTGAGGAAACCCATAGTCTAGCATCATTCCAAAGGCATTCTGGGGGGGAAAACACTAAATGGAAGGTCCAGAGAATTTGCGCCTGTCCACTGGGGGATATAGGAAGCCCTGAACACATATTTTTTAGATGTCCCTTTTATGATGAGGCATGTAGAGAAACCATTGACCCCCCTGCTGGTGAGGCTTGCTGACCTCCCGGTAAAGCAAAATTTCGATCTTCTCCTGTTAGGCAAAGACCACAAGATGACCCGGATTGTAGCCAGATTCTGCGCACAGATCTGTAGGCGCAGACCATCCCCCAATTCAATCTAGTTTGTTAAAATTCCCAAACCCGGATCCACGGGCGACTTTGGGTCATTTCTCTAAGGTAGTCTATTTTGAAGTTTTTATGAGTTTACATGCCTATCGCACTTTTAAACTTAAAATCCATTGTTGTATATTGTTTTAAATGTTTGTTTTGCTATTGGGATGGTAGTTCCATTTCTGTTTCTCAAGCTGGTCTCTGACCGTAATAAATTTCATTGCTAAATGGAAGGAGCAAATGAGAAGAGTTGTTGCCCCTGCCTTCACAGTAAACATCCCTGAACATCATCTGTCCCCAAGATGAGGAGAACATTTCCCACCCACCCACCCAAGATCAGAACACATGCCCCCCCAAAATGCAAGTGAGGTGGCAAATTGGGGAGGAGGGTATTTCAAGGAAGCTGCCTGTGGCGTTTGCCTCCTAGGATGGGTCATAAGGAAAGGGTTAAAATGGGTGTGATGTGATTGGCCAGTGAGAATGCAAGGGGGGAATAAAAGTTAGAGTGGGAGGTTTTGAAAGTCAGTTGAGGTTTGGGAGTTGAGAGTCGAGGTTTGGGAGTTGAAGAAGGAAGAGGGAGGTTTAGGTGTGGGTTGGTAGAGTTGTATTGTGAGAGAGTGAGAGGAATTGTTAGGTGGAGTCAGATAGATAGTTGGAATAATCAGTTTGGAGTTGTTAGGAACTAAGATTAAGAAACTGTCAAGAAAAACTAACTGAAACCATAAGCTTGTTCCTGCATTTAAAAATAAACTTGATTATTTGTTTATGTTAACAGCTGGCTGGACTCCGTGTGTCCCCGTGAGATACAGGGTGGTGGCAGGGGGAAAAGCAATCGCAGTGGCGGCACAGGGTCAATAGACCGTCAAACGTCCGGGGGCCCTGTGTGGGATCGCCACACTGCCCCTCCACCATGAGGCTTGCAAACAGCGATCCTTTCATTCCAGGGGCTTGTCGCTTACCTTCGCCTTAACTGCTCTAAATGCTTCCTGGAAACAAGGGCCTACACCATCCGTGTTCAGCTGGAGTAGCAACTTCAGCCTCATCTCCCACATTTCTACCAAGTGGCTGAATCGTCTCGTTGCCGCTGCTGCCACCTCTTCAGCCTTTTCTCGGAGGTCGAGCCCCAGTAAGAGCTGGAGCTGACGAGATGCAAATCAAAGATAAAACGGAAGCCTTTATTGAGAAATGTGTCCCAAGACCCAAAGGCAAGTCTTCTCGTTTCATGCAGTGTAGTGCTTTTTTATATATTTAAAAAAAGACCCAGCAAGAGCCATATACATCCTTACCCATTGCTGATAGAGAGAAGCTGGCAGCAACTGTAATTCATGAGCCCGGCTGCAAACACTTGATATCCTTTCCAACCTCTAAAAAAACAAGAAGAGATAAGGAAAAAAGAATGAGCTTCACTGCCACGCAGACTAGCCTCCACAAAAACAAAAGTAAACTTCTGAAATTGTCTGCAGGAATACTTAAAGCATTTACCTTCTGCTTTAACTCTTCACTGTTTGTCTTCCGGTTATATCTTTCCAAGCAAAAAGCGACGTAACGTTCCCACATGGCCTCTGGAAGGTTAAAAATGTTTTTCTTAATAAAAATGGCAGTCACTCCTTCTGAACGAAAACAACAACACTGCTTTTCCAAGACCCACTAAAGAAAAATTCAACTCCTAAGCAAAAGCTAGGGACGCGGGTGGCGTTGTGGGTTAAACCACAGAGCCTAGGACTTGCCGATCAGAAGGTCGGCGGTTCGAATCCCCGCGACGGGGTGAGCTCCCGTTGCTCGGTCCCAGCTCCTGCCAACCTAGCAGTTCGAAAGCACCTCAAAGTGCAAGTAGATAAATAGGTACCACTCCGGCGGGAAGGTAAACAGTGTTTCTGTGCGCTGCTCTGGTTTGCCAGAAGCGGCTTAGTCATGCTGGCCACATGACCCAGAAGCTGTACGCCGGCTCCCTCGGCCAATAAAGCGAGATGAGCGCCGCAACCCCAGAGTCGGCCACGACTGGACCTAATGGTCAGGGGTCCCTTTACCTTTTAAGCAAAAGCTATCAAACCAACAATTAAAGGGGGGGCACCTATTCACAAGATTCGCTACAAGTTTCTTTCCTTCTTCAGTATCTTTATTTAAAAATTTTATAAGCCACTTAATCGAAGAGCTCACTGAGCAGTGCACGAATAAAATCGTAGATAAAACACAGCTAAAATCCACACGGTACAGACACCGTATTAACCTCAAGGCAGCTCTGGTGCTTTCTCCTACTTCTCTGAGTCAGTTGGGGATGAAAACGTACAAAATCTGACTCTCTTGGAGCATGTCATGAGTGAAAAGTGGATTACAGGACACCAGAAAGCAGACACACATATTCTACCCACCTCCTGGCTCTTTTCCGTCACCAAAGCAAGACAACGGTAAGTGGGCGATACTGCCCTTTGAATATGATTTCTGAGGCGTTTATGGGAGGCCTCTGGGAAGGTTGTGCATGAAATAAACCCTTGCTAACCAGCCTAGCCGGGTTCACTCAGCTGTTCCCTCCTCCAAGCAAATTGCACAATATACGTTAAGTCCCTGAGGTGAAGCGGTTAGTGGCATGAGGCCCGCAAACCCTTGTGCTACATGAAGGTACAGGAGGGCCCTGCTTCCTCCCAACGCTGACACTCTGGCCGCCTTCTAAAATTCGGCAGAGGTGGCCATGAAACAGTTTTGGACCATACCACTTCAGACTGCAGGCAAAGGTTCTGAGGAAAAATCACTCTCTCGGGAGCAGCAGTACACTCCCAAGCATGGAATATGTCCTATAAAAGCTTAGCCTGGAAGCTTGCTCCTTGAAATCTAAATTTCTACGTGGAGGCATTTTATTTGAGACCCAGGAAGGTGCTGAATTGGGGAACATTCAGTCATGCGAGTCTCTACCTGTAGTCTTGAGGTGGTCAAATCCAGACATGGCTTTATTACCTCATCTGCTGTTAGAACTAGACCAACAAGCCAACAGTTCACCTTAAAGCCTATAGCTTAATTACTATTTTTGGAGGACATAAATCACCACTGTTATCGTGTAAAGGGAAAGGTAAAGGACCCCTGGATGGTTAAGTCCAGTCAAAGGTGACTATGGGGTTGCGGCACTCATCTCGCTTTTCAGGCTGTGGGTACTGGCATTTGTCTGCAGTCAGGTTTCCAGGTCATGTGGCCAGCATGACTAAACTGCTTCTGGCACAATGGAACACCGTGACGCAAACAAGAACGAACGGAAACGCCATTTACCTTCCCACTGCAGCAAACTATTTATCTACTTGCACTGGTGTGCTTTCGAACTGCTAGGTTGGCAGAACCCGGGACAGAGCAACGGGAGCTCACCCCGTCGCGGGGATTTGAACCACCAACCTTCTGATCAGCCAAGCCCAAGAGGCTCAGTGGTTTAGACCACAGCGCCACCCACATCGTGAAACCTGATTAACAATTGCAAGTGGATGAGAAGGACAAATGGACAAGCACTAGGAAACCTTTCTGCCTCTCTTGCATTTCCAGATGGGTGTTTAAGCGTGGGAAGGAGGCTCATCGCACATGGAAATTCTTCGCAGCATCTGCATGACATCATTGGCAAAAACAAAAGTATTGCCTTCCTGTTTTCATTCAAATATACCCCTTTCGGGAGAAATCTGAACAGTTCAAAATTAAAAAATAACCACACACATATTGAGCTCAAGTCCATCAGTTCGTAATTAAATAGGGAATCATGACTACATACATCTTCAAAGCTCTACCGCAAGAACTGGAAGTATCGTTTATGTTTTAGAGATTTTATACTTTATAAATGCTGATATATATTAGAGGCACAAGTTCTAACCTGTGGGAAGGGAGGCGACTGCTTCATCAAACACCATGCAACACCGTTCTTCTTTTAGGGCTGCTTCCTGTGCTTTGGACTGTTTGGACCGATGTTCTGTTGTGGGCAAGGAGTCCTTCTCCAGCTCCTGCCGTGCTATGTAGTCCCACATAAGAGGATCGTTGGCGTATTCTGCCTGCAGGCTAAGAGGAAAACTATCATGCTATTGTTCCATGCGCTACCCTCTTCTTAGGAGGGAGCATTAAGAGTGCTTTGCTCTACAAGCAGGCAGCTATATCACAACAGTGACATTTTATTTATCCTGAGATACTCTCGGCACCAATTCAGGTGAAGCCACATCAGACATGCCGGAGTCTGCCTAGTCATAGTGTGGTCTACACACACTAAAGAACAGAATGGGGATGAGGTGATAGACTGAAAGTGAGAACAGCAAACCTGAATGCTTTCCATGTTAAACAAAATAATACTTCTAGCACAGTGGCTTCCAAACTTTTCTTTCCCAAAGACCACTTGGAAATTGCTGAAGGTCTTGGAAGACCACTTAATGATTTTTCTGCCTGTTGTAGCAATTGCAATGCGATGCGATTTATGTTGTATGATATATGTTTTAAAAAATTGTATTTTTACAGACACGCTGCAGACCACCTGAATGGACGACACTAATAGTGCTCTAGTTCTCCACAACCACCCCAGACTTACTTTTCCAGAATTTCCTTTTGAAGGTCTTGTGTAAAATCAAAAAGTTTTGCAATTGACAGCAGTGACAGAAGAAACTCTGCACCTAGAATGGAGTCAGACAGACAGACAGACAGACAGACAGACAGACGGTAATTAGGGGGGGGGGTCCAGAACCTCATAAACAGTCTCTCTTAAGCCAGAAAATATTTAACAAATAAAGTATATGTCCTCTAAAACAAGAGGATTAATTTAAAAAACAAATAAAACCATAAGAACTCTCCAAACTTTGCTTGAAATGCATCTCTTTAATGTGGAGTGTCAAATTTTGCCGTAAGGCTTGGATTGACTTGTATGTGAACTTGCACAATTCATGAATGCTCAGTACAGCAGCTGGGACAGATCAGTCTGTAGATCATGAGGCTCTTAACCTCGGGGTCATGGGTTCAAGCCCCACATTGGGCAAAAGATTCCTGCATTGCAGGGGGTTCGACTAGATGACCCTCAGAGTCCCTTTCAACTCTTGTGATTCTATGCAGGTAATACTGGGTCAGAGACAACTGGCCCATCAACACTACCATCCTGAGAGCAGCCAAATCCAGTTGCTACAAGAAAGCTGAACAACTCATCCTACATACTAGTAAATATATTTCTTAAAAAGCTAGGTGCCACTTTTGAATTTTAAATCAGTCCCAAAATTCATAAAACCATTTGAAGCAATAAACAACAGTGAAAACATCCACATACAGTGGTACCTCGGGTTACATACGCTTCATGTTACATACGCTTCAGGTTAGAGACTCCGCTAACCCAGAAATAGTACCTCGGGTTAAGAACTTTGCTTCCGGATGAGAACAGAAATTGTGCTCTGGCAGTGCGGCGGCAGCAGGAGGCCCCATTAGCTAAAGTGGTACCTCAGGTTAAGAACAGTTTCAGGTTAAGTACGGACCTCCAGAATGAATTAAGTACTTAACCCGAGGTACCACTGTAGTTGATTTAATTTCAGAAACCTCCGCAGCCAGAACCAAACCAGAACTCAGTTATCAACACTTGTGGAAAGTTAGGGTGAGCAGAGAGGTCATTTAACTGTCTGTGAAAGCACCCCTTTGTCAGTAACACCTTCAGGGTTGTAGCCACCCCAAAGTCATTCTGTTAGAAGGGGTGCCGCAATATTCAACCCCAGCCAACCAAATTTCAGTCACCAGTGGCCTATATTTATTTTTAAAAACCTAAGGCAAGTTGCTGGGACGCAGGTGGCGCTGTGGGTTAAACCACTGAGCCTAGGACTTGCCGATCAGAAGGTCGGTGGTTTGAATCCCTGCGACAGGGTGAGCGCCCGTTGATCGGTCCCTGCTCCTGCCCACCTAGCAGTTCGAAAGCACGTCAAAGTGCAAGTAGATAAATAGGTACCGTTCCGGCAGGAAGGTAAACGGCTATTCCGTGCGCTGCTCTGGTTCGCCAGAAGTGGCTTAGTCATGCTAGCCACATGAACTGGAAGCTGTACGCCGGCTCCCTCGGCCAATAAAGAGAGATGAGCGCCGCAACCCCAGAGTCGGTCACGACTGGACCTAATGGTCAGAGGTCCCTTTACCTTTACCTAAGGCAGGTTGCTACTTAAAACACACACACACACACACACACACACACGAGAAACACAACATGGAGTTACCTTTGATTTTCTGAACAGCATTTCTGTAGACAACTCGGGCCATTGCACCATTAAGTATTTCCTCAGAATAGCTGAATTCACCCTAAAATTGCAGGCAAAAGACAAGCTTTCATGTCCTAGACCCTTTTCATATTAAAAAAACGATTCATGGCACATGACCAACACTTTTTCCTCCACAGAGTTGCAACCGGGGCCCCACTGCACATATGAGCCACTGCACTGTCAGAGAAATGCTCCACATATATTGATAGGTGGACATTCCCCAATATTGAAAAAGCAACAATAGTGTGGCATCTGGTTAGCTTTGTTGGCATATATTTTCCATAAGGCACAGAAGGTCACAAGAAACTTGCAGCTTGTCAACGTCTTCTAGAAGCAACACAATACACTTTGGCGGGCTGGGTCAGGGAAGGTCAAGATGGAATAATTTAGCTTTTTCCTACCCACCACAAGCCATTTGGATGGGGTGGGCTACATGTTCAACAGAATACATAAATTAAAAAGGAACTTGGCAAAGAACCTTTCACAAGAGGTGTGTGGTCTCTGAAAGAGTGCAGTCACTCAACAAAACACAATCCGGTGTTCGCCTTGCGTTTGTTAACAGCTGTACAAGTTACTAGAACTATTCCACAGCACATGTCCCAAGTTGATGACTCGCCACTATTACAGGAGCACAGAAACATTGCTTCACAGGAGAAAGCTGCGCCAGCGACGTTCCTCGAGTCATGTAGACTCTGAGCTGCACTTAAAGGACAAGCACAAGACCAATTAAGGGATAGCTGTTTTTGCTTCAGATGTCTCAAATGGACACATAGCACAGGAAAGTACAGTGGACGCTCAGGTTGCGAATGTGATCTGTGAGGGATGCACATTCGCAACCCGCAGCATTCGCAACCCACAGCTGCGCACACATGGGTTGCGATTTGGCGCTTCTGCGCATAGCGTGATTTACTGCTTCTGCACATGCGTGACCACCGAAACCTAGAAGTAACCCGTTCCGGTACTTCCGGGTTTCGGCGGTCCGTAACCTCAAAAAATGCAACCTAAGGCGTCTGTTAACCCGAGGTATGACTGTACTGTATAAGCGTATCGTAATTTATTGTATCGCAAACACTTCAAATGATACAACTTAACTGTCTAAGTCAGAGGCGGGAAAACATTTTCCAGATTAAGGATCCCCATACCCTCCTGGGCCACGTTTTGGGGGATGCAAACCAGTGATGGGAAGGGGGCCAGAAGCAGGCGAAAAGTGAGTACAGCAACTGTTGTGACACTTTACCATACAAAGTTAAGTGCATCCCAGTCGCCAGGGCCGGATTTAGGTTTGATGAGGCCCTAAGCTACTGAAGGTAATGGGGCCCTTTGTATATCCAGCTGTCCTTTGTCAACAACAAATTGTTGCTGTTTTTTGGGTTGAATAAATGCTATATGGTAATTTATGGACCTAATGGGTATTTAAAGCCATTTGCACGTGACAAAATATGTATTTTATCGAAGTAATTGTTGAACTGAAATACAATTAAGAACAAGTATATTAATAGTGAAATACAATTAAGAAGAAGTATATTGGGGGGGTACAGAAGTACTGTTTTGGGGGGACAGGAGACAGGCGGGTATGGAGGTCCTGAATGGGGTAACTGTGCCCCTGAAAGACCAGGTGCGCAGCCTGGGAGTCATTCTGGACTCACAGCTGTCCATGGAGGTGCAGGTCAATTCTGTGTCCAGGGCAGCTGTTTATCAGCTCCATCTGGTACGCAGGCTGAGACCCCACCTGCCTGCAGACTGTCTCGCCAAAGTGGTGCATGCTCTAGTTATCTCTTGCTTGGACTACTGCAATGTGGGGCTACCTTTGAAGGTGACCCGGAAACTACAACTAATCCAGAATGCAGCAGCCAGACTGGTGACTGGGAGTAGCCGCCGAGACTATATAACACCGGTCTTGAAAGAACTACACTGGCTCTAGTACGTTTCCGAGCACAATTCAAAGTGTTGGTGCTGACCTTTAAAGCCCTAAACGGCCTTGGTCCAGTATACCTGAAGGATCGTCTCCACCTCCATCATTCTGCCCGGACACTGAGGTCCAGCGCCAAGGGCCTTCTGGCAGTTCCCTCGCTGCAAGAAGCCAAATTACAGGGAACCAGGCAGAGGGCCTTCTCGGTAGTGGTACACGCCCTGTGGAACGCCCTCCCACCAGATGTCAAAGAGAAAAATAACTACCAAACTTTTAGAAGACATCTGAAGGCAGCCCTGTTTAGGGAAGCTTTTAATGTTTAATAGGTTATTGTATTTTAGTGTTTTATTGGAAGCCGCCCAGAGTGGCTGGGGAAACCCAGCCAGATGCGCGGGGTATAAATAATATATTATTATTATTATTATTATTAGGCAAGAGAATGGGTCTCTAAGCTATAGCTTGTTTTGCTTATACATAAATCCGGCAGTGCCAGTCACACAACACTCACAGGTTTCCACAAACACACACCCATCTCCACCCAAGGAGGAAAGAGGCATCTTCACAGTTCAAGGACTTATTTCAGCCAAGCAAAAGCACTTGAGAAGGGTGTAGAGACAGGCTGAAGAAGAGCGTGGCCTGGGGACAGGAGATGTAGCCTGGAAAAAATTCCCAAGGGCTCAACGGACAGGTCTAGAGTTTCCCCACCCCTGACCCAAGGGGAATTGTTTCTGGCACAGGCAGAAATTTTCCGTGACTAACGACATCTCATTTCTTACCAGGTCCATCTTTGCTTGCTCAAATTCTTTCTTCTCTTTCCTTTGCTTTTCGGCATTCATGAGCTCCATCCTGAAATACTACAGAAACAAAGAAAGGCAAAGAGGGGGAAATGAGGTGGCAAGGGCTTCAAACGCCAGTGGAGAAGGATTCCTTGTTACTACTGTGGTTAATAGTGGTGCTGATGTAAAACGTAACTGGAGTAAAATCAGGAATAGGAAATCAGCCATTTTGTGGCGTGCTCCCAATTAACCATGATTAAGGGACTCCCAGCATTATGACTACTACTAAAAAAAAAATTAGCTGTCTTCTTCTTAATAAACTTTGCATTCGTTGTTCTTTTGACTTTTCCCTCACTACTGGTTCTTGAAACTGTTGAAGACTTTGCCCGGTTAAGCGCTTCACCAGAAACTGACGCCGTGATTGTAGGTGGACCAGGATAAACATGGCTGTTTCACAACAACAGAGGCTACTATTGACACATAAAAATAATGACGACAGTGGAGATCAAGCTGGCATGTTAAAATTTTAGAGAGAAAATTTAAAGCTCCCTTGGACTTTTGATGATTTTAACAACAAAAGCAATACTACAAAATTGCATCACTTTCAGGCTGCAAAGATAAAACATGAAGGACTTCACAACGATTGCATATCTTACTTTCCCACCTGTGGTAAAGACAATTACATCTGAGGTTTTTCCTGGCAGTCACACTCAGAGTCAATGCCTACCGTATTTAACTATAGCTTTGAGAATGAAAAAAGGGCATCATACTATTAGCTCGAAAGTTATACGTATATAAAAAAGCAACAGTATGTCCAACCAGGCTCACTTGGCACATTCATTACAGGCACTGAACAAAACCATTTCTCTTCAACCAGGCCTTTGACTGACTAGCATTATATGGCTTTTTAAATGTGTCTGTGGGAGCGGGGTTATTGGTTTGTTTTGCTTTCGTTTTATTACGCATTTTGTGTTTTCGTTTTGTATTTTTCTGTTGTGAACGGCCCTGTGATCTTCGGAGGAAGGGCGGTATACAACTACTACAACTATAAAAAAGAATAATTTGCCAGTGAGGATGGAAAACCGGAATGGCGTTCCGTTCTTCAGTTCAACAAACCAGCAGTCAATCAACAAGCAGATCTTAGCTGAAACGAACTAGTTAAACATTTGCAGCGGCGAAGGGGGGAAGCATCAGAATCACATGTTACCTCTTGATACAGTTTGGGACATTCTGGATGGAAACGCAAGGCACGAAGGAACAACTGCCGGGCACTTTCAGATGACAGGCGGTCCTCCATTTCCCATTTTGCAGCCATGATCCAGAGAGCTACAACAGAGAGTGAGAGAGAGATGCATGGTCCTGTTTAAGACAGTCACTGCAAAACCAGCTGACAACCAAGAAGTCATTCCAAGTAATGGTTCTTATGCCTTGTTCTGCTAGCCTCGCCTTCCCCAACCTGGTACCTTCCAGATACTGCTAGACTACACCTCTCATCATCCCTGGGCATTGGTCACACTGGCTGGAGCTGATGGGATCTGGAGGCCAACATATGGAGGACACGACATTGGGGAAGGTTGCTCTGGTATACCAACATAACCTGTTCCATCAGCTTTAAATGAGCCAGATCAGGCAAGCGAATTGTGCCACTGCCAAGATATCCCATCCATCACTCCAAGACTGCCTACCCTACTCACTTCATTTACAAGAGTAAGTACTGTACCTGGTTTGTTGGGATGAAGGGCTAACATGGCTGAAAACACCTTGCCCAGCTGTATTTTCCTGTTCTATTAGGAAACAGAAAGCATCATATCACTCTCTTATATTGTGTACCTTTTCAAGTGAAACAGATTCACCTTCATTACAGAGGACTTTGATACTGTTTGGTTTGCCATCTTACAGTGAACTATATCTGGATCTGCACAGAAAGCAACTTAGTTTTTAGTACCTGCATTGGGTACTAAAAGCTTGGGGTGGTCAGGCAGAACAACAAAGCTCAAACAGCAGCAAGACTGTGAATATTTATTTAGTATTTATTTATTTATTTATCACAAACTCCGGCTGTTGTAAACTCTGTCATGCATACTCATATATAAGGGACAGAGACTAACTCACAGTCCTCTGATAGTACTGGCAGGTAAAAATATCAAAAGCAAGTCCAGTCGTTCGAACAAGTCCGGTCATTTCAACAAGGTTCTTCCAAATTATCACCATGCAAAGACCACATCCCGTGGCTCCCTTGAAAGGAGGTTCAACTGCTTTATAAGCTCACAGCTGAAATGAGGAAATTACACTCCAATACTCACCCATTTCTTGCAAAAGGCCACATGAGACAACCACAGCTGAAGATCATCCTATGGAAGTGAAACAAAAAGGAGGGTACGGGTAAGCTAAGAACACAACAGGTACCATTAATCCAGAATTGTTATCCTTTTTACAACAATGGCGTAAGGAGCAAGATATGGGAAAGTCAAAGCTTCCACAGCCAGCAATTGAGAAAAGAAACTATGGAATGAAGAAGTGTCTCAACTAGCAGTCAGTGATGGACCTGTCTTTCAGGAGGAGGAAGAACCAGTATTCTAAAACAAGCATTTTAGAAACTAAAAAGGTAAAGGTAAAGGTAAAGGGCCCCTGACCATTAGGTGCAGTCGTGGCCGACTCTGGGGTTGCAGCGCTCATCTCGCTTTATTGGCCGAGGGAGCCAGCGTACAGCTTCCGGGTCATGTGGCCAGCATGACTAAGCTGCTTCTGGCGAACCAGAGCAGCGCACGGAAACGCTGTTTACCTTCCCGCCGGAGCGGTACCTATTTATCTACTTGCACTTTGACGTGCTTTCGAACTGCTAGGTTGGCAGGAGCAGGGACCCAGCGACGGGAGCTCACCCCGTCGCGGGGATTCGAACCGCCGACCTTCTGATCGGCAGGTCCTAGGCTCTGTGGTTTAACCCACAGCGCCACCCGTGTCCCTATTTTAGAAACTAGAAAGCTACAAATTTCAACTGGTTTGTTCTTGGCTTACCACTCATGGTTTGTTTGGAGCAAGACAACCCATGAGCCCAGGTTTGAAAATAACACTAAGCCAAACTCTGTCACAGCTCCAAGAAAAACAGCAGCAGCACCAGGAGAGAAGTGAAACAGCTGCTGTTTTCTAACTATGTCGCTAGGACACCTGCTCATTCATACTTAGCTGCAGTTTGGCTTTAGAATTATGCACAAATAAGGTCAGCATGATGTTACACAAGAGGTTATACAAAATCATCCAAGTGCTATAGAATAAAACAGTCTTACACTCCATTTTGTTGTGGCCCGTTTGAAGACACCATGTATTCTCTGCAGAATGGAGTACTCAATCTCATCTTTCTTGAACGAGTAGCCAGTGCGCTATGGAAAACAATGACCAACTTTACAATCCTTGGTAAATTCCATAAGGACCCCTTCAAGTTTTCAGTTACATGTCAACTTACCGCTCTTCTTTTCTTAATCAATTCCAACAGATTGATTTCATACTGAAGGGGAAGAAAATATTTAGAAGGTCAACAATACTTCAAGGATGATAAAAACTGAGCAATAGCTAGCACAGTAAAGCCATGCATTTATTGCTTTATATAGATTTTATGTGATATTATATAATAACAACTGCAATTAAGGCCTGTAATAATGAGGTGAATAAATCAAGAATTATCCAGTGCCCATTCATCCTAGCTACTAAACATGGAGAAACGCTCCTCCCCACTCAATCAGTAGGCTGAATCCTCTTGGATTTTGATGGAACCAAAACATACATTTACCACTTTCTTTCTTTCTTTCTTTCTTTCTCTTTCTCTCTCTCTCTCTCTCTCTCTCTCTCTCTCTCTCTCTCCCCCTCTCTCTCTCTCTCACACACACACACACACACACACTCATTTCTCTATGTAGGGTCCAGAAAGACTTCTGTCTATTCTTAAGAGCTGCTGCTAATCAGTGCATAGACCAGGGATGGGGAACCTGTGAACCTCCAGATGTTGGTAGTCCAAACCCCATCAACCTCAGCCAGCATGGCCAATTGTCAGGGATTATGGGACCTGTAGTCCAGCAACATCTGGAGGGTCAATAAGTTATCTACTCATCTGGTGATATAAGGCAGCTTCCTCTGTTTTTAAAAGGCCCTCTCTACATCCTTACAACTGCATCGTAATTAATGTATACATCTGCTGCAGCAAAATTTAGAACCAAGAGATATACCAGACTGTGCATTTGAAAACTAAGCCATGCTTTATTGCATTATGTTTTCAGTTCACATTTTTAAGAAACACCAGAAAATATAATGCTTGTTAACTGAGATAAATCTCAAGAGATGAAAGCATATCGAAAATGAATCTTCTTAAGAAACCTACCTGAATGTAACTGATAAAATTTTCCTTATGGAGTGCTCTCCGTTGTATTTTATATTCAAGGGCTAATGTCTTCTTAATAACCGCCCTGCAGAAATACAAAAAGGCAACATCCTTCCATGGTTCCCAATCCACAGAAAAACACAGGTATCACAACAAATTGAGGTGTTAGCAACTCAATTTCCTCCTTATCGTCCATGTCTGGTGAGGGACATGCAGGTTCTAAATCGGTGCCTGGCTGCTAGAATGGTCTGGGTGGGGGGCTGATAAAATCCTGAAAAGATGTTACTGAATATATGGAAAATAAGTGTGTACAGCTGACGACGTTGTCAGCATTAAGATAAATTCCACAGTGTAAATAAGTTTTGAGGGATGTCACAATGGAAAAGCGACTGGCATAGTTTTTTGTAAAATATGCAGGGATATAAAATATATATGATGAACCATGAAAAGAGAAAAAGGGAAGTCTTAAGTATGTAAAATGTTTATCTGAACTTGTAAAACAGAAGATTTAATAAAAATCACATTTACAAAAAATAAAAATAAAAGATGTAATGGCTTGGCTGTGAAATTTAGAACCCACGAGATATATCAGAATGTGCATTTGAGCACTAAGCAGTGCTTTCCTGGCATTATATTTTCAGTTTGCATTTATGAGAAAGAAAAGACACAGTTGGTAGCATTGAGATAAATTCCACAGTGTAAATAAGTTTTGATGGATGCAATAATGGAATAACTGAATGGTATAGTTTTTGTAAAAAAAAATACAGGGATGTAAGATATGTAAAATGAACCATGGAAAGAGAAGAAGGGAAGTCATTGATATCTTAAGTATGTTAAATGTTTCTCTGAAATAGTAAAAATTAATAAAAATCGTATTTATTTTTTTAAAGAAAATATTATGGCTTGGCTGCTTGCAGGTCTGCCGAGTAAGGTGAACAGCCTGTTCCCTACCAACCTTGAAGGAGTAGGACCAGGGCCGGATTTAGGTTTGATGAGGCCCTAAGCTACTGAAGGTAATGGGGCCCTTTATATGTCCAGCTGTCCTTTGTCAACAAATTGTCACTGATTTTTTTGTGTTGAATATATGCTACATGTCATTTATGGACCTAATAGAATATGTATTTTATCAAAGTAATTGTTGAACTGAAATAAAATTTAGAAGAAGTATATTAATATATTAATAGTGAAATACAATTAATAAATACATTAATAGGTAAAGGTAAAGGGACCCCTGACCATTAGGTCCAGCGTGGACCGACTCTGGGGTTGTGGCGCTCATCTCGCTTTATTGGCCAAGGGAGCCGGCGTACAGCTTCCGGGTCATGTGGCCAGCATGCCTAAGCCGCTTCTGGCGAACCAGAGCAGTGCACGGAAACGCCGTTTACCTTCCCACCGGAGCGGTACCTATTTATCTACTTGCACTTTGACATGCTTTCGAACTGCTAGGTTGGCAGGAGCAGGGACCGAGCAACCGGAGCTCACCCATCACAGGGATTCGAACTGCCAACCTTCTGATCGGCAAGTCCTAGGCTCTGTGGTTTAACCCACAGCGCCACCCGCGTCCCAAGTACATTAATTGTGAAATAATTATTAAGCTCTAACTTAAAATGGTTGGGGGCCCATTACTTACATCACAGGAGCCTACACAACACAAAACACTGTTGCTGTATGTAGGTTTCATTTGATTTGTTTTTTATCTTACATTTTGGAAACGTACATCCAGGGTTTTTTTTCCTTTAAATTTTTGGGGGACCCCAAGAGAGTGTGACCCTAAGCTAGAGCTTGTTTAGCTTATACGTAAAACCGACCCACACAAACGAGGTTCCCTTTCCCCACCTTCCTGCTTCCACCCCCAATCCATGGGGTCGTTCCCTTCCCTGGATCCCCGGGGATCGCGGAGATCCCGCCTCGCCCAACCTGATCTCTTTGCTGGTGAGGAGCCCGACCCTCCCCAGCTCCTCTAGCTCGGGGATCCGGTCCTCGATGCGCTGCTCGGTCCTCTCCGCCATAACCGGGAAAGGCGACCAGCCTCCGAGCGCCGGTCTCTAGCTAGATGCACAGCAGCAGCGAGCGACACATGCCCGCGCCAGGAGAGAGAGACCACTTCCGCTTCCGCCGGGGCGTCGCCGCGTTTCCCTTCCGCGCAGGGCTCGCTGCCTCCCTGCGGCTCCCAGGGGAACTGCAGCATTTCTGGCTCCGGCCGGAAAAAGGGGTCAGGGCAGATCAGGGCCGCATTGTCAGCCTTTCCTCCTCCGCTCCTGTGCAAGGAAAACCTGGTCCAGACCTGAGGTGGGATGAGGGCCTGGTGACAACCTGAGTTGCTAAGGTGTGGAATATACACTTCGTTAATTCAAGGAATATACACTTCATTAATCAAAATTTACCAATTTCTGTGAAACACCCCCAGCAAATTCCTACTAATCTTGTCTTCCATACTACAAACGCTGCCATTCGGGATCTCCCTCTTTGATTTATCATCTGCAACACTCCTCTAAAATCAAAGGAGTTGCATTTATCTGGCACAGATAGTGTGAAATATCACGAAAATAATGGCATCGAGTGCCAGCTATAAAATACTAGCTGTATCTTCCCCACAGAAGCACCCAATAAAACAAAACAAAAATCCAACCTGCAATCTGAATGTGTAAAGGTAAAGGGACCCCTGACCATTAGGTCCAGTCGTGGCCGACTCTGGGGTTGCGGCGCCCATCTCGCTTTATTGGCTGAGGGAGCCGGCGTACAGCTTCTGGGTCATGTGGCCAGCATGACTGAGCCGCTTCTGGCGAACCAGAGCAGCGCACGGAAACGCCGTTTACCTTCCCGCCGGAGTGGTACCTATTTATCTACTTGCACTTTGACGTGGTTTCGAACTGCTAGGTTGGCAGGAGCAGGGACCGAGCAACTGGAGCTCACCCCGTCGCGGGGATTCGAACCACCAACCTTCTGATCGGTAAGTCCTAGGCTCTGTGGTTTAACCCACAGCGCCACCCGCATCCCAATCTGAATGTGTAGGATAAATTATCGTTCACAGTACTATTCAGGTAGGTAGCCGTGTTGGTCTGACGCAGTCGAAATATATTTTAAAAATTAAAAAAATTGTCCAGCAGCACCTTAGAGACCAACTAAGTTTGTTCTTGGTATAAGCTTTCTGAAGAAGTGTGCATGCACATGAAAGCTTATACCAAGAACAAACTTAGTTGGTCTCTAAGGTGCTACTGGACAATTTTTTATTTATATATATATTAATACTATCTATGACAGCAGTTGTTCTCCACTAGGGGTCAAAGCTAGGTGGAAATGTATCTATTTAAAAATTATTATTATTATTATTATTATTAATTGAATTTATATACCGCCCTATACCCGGGGGTCTCAGGGCAGTTCACAGAATAAAATCAAGATATAAAACTATTTTTTCTATAAAAAGAGGTGCTAGAGTTCACCACGAATGCCTCCCTCTTTCTCTTAGAATGGCAATGGCCCCCACCTGAGAGGAGCCAGAACTAAGTTCTGCCGAGTTCCCCCTGAGAGGGGAAAAACCCTCCTTTTGACCAGTTTTGAGAGCAGCTGCACCAGGAATTCCCTTCATCCTTCCCAAACTGCAGTTTGTTTGTTTCCCCAGCATGTTTTATTAAATTTCCACAAATTTCACTCATACATTCCAATACACAATAAATTTTTTTCTTTGTCGACTTCCCATCCCATTGTTTTTTCAATTTCCCTCCTTGCTGCACTTTGTCTCCTCTTCTCTTATATCATGGCAATAAGACAATAGTCTCTTAATTCCTTCTGTTGCTCATAGTCCAGCTCGTGAATTCGTCATACTATCATATTTCTTTAAATTGTTTGAAAAAGGCCTCCATTCTTCCATAAAACAATCAGCATTAGGTTCTCTTTTTTCAGCTGTTAATTTTGCTGATTCATCATTTTACTTATTGGTTCTTCTTTGGTAAGAACTTCACCCTTCCACCAAACTACAGTTTCTCTGGATTCTTTGACAGAAGGCACTGCTGTTAAACAATATAGAAGACCAATATAACAAACAATATAGAAAACCAATATAAGGTTTGTTTTAGATATGCCTTAAAAGGCTTTTTGAGTCTATAGTAGGAAGACTTGAAAGGGCATTATTTCCCTGTCACACCAAACACATCGGATTTGAAATGCTCAGACTGAGCCAGAGTTTTCCAGGGCTTTGCTCCAGAACCTACTTTCAATGCCAGGGTTCACTAACCAGTACATATAAGAGAGGTGATGCAGCTTACTATATCCCCCGACCTGAAATATTTCCCCTATCTGAGTATGTTGAAGATGGGCTGTAATTACTTTCAAGTTCCACTGAGCACATGTCTAAGTAGGATCAGACTGCAAGTACTGTGGGAAATGCACTTTGAACATGGCTCAGAGGTACTGTACTATAATTAAATCTTGTTCCAGGATTAAGCCTGACACAAAACTAGGGCTTGGCACCTGAACCCTGGTTCCAATTAAGCCCTTAGGGACTATTTGACTAAATGTTTGTGTAAAACATTTTGCAACTTCTCAAGCTCAAATCTTATTGTCATTTTCAAAGCACACATTTGTTTGTTTGAATTGATCCTGAATAAAACCAGCCTGAGATGAGAGGGAAGGGGCTTGCAGATTAGAAGATGTGACTGCTTGGCAAAAGGGGAATAATAAAGGTTCATCCCTGACCCAGAAAGTGTGCTTTGGCCAGGATAACTTCAAATGTTTAGCTATATTCCTGTCGAAAAAGACCATTCCTGGTACATGGTTAAACAGCTAATGCAAGCTCTCTTTAAAGAGAGCATCCTTACTGCCATCCAGTGGCGTAGCGTGGGGGGTGCAGGGGGGGCCGGCCGCACCGGGCGCAACATCTGGGGGCGCGCGCTCGCACTCGAGTGCTAAAATCCATGGGTTAGGGGGCGCAAATTACTTGCCTTGCCCCGGGTGCTGACAACCCACGCTACGCCACTGCTGCCATCCCCATACAGATGGGGCAGCAGGACAGGATAAATGCCTAAAGCTCCCCGCCCTTGAGAACGCCTTTCATAACAAACAGGTTTCAAAAGGTGCTCTCACATTTTGTGACTCACCCTTGCGCCAAGGTCAGGCTGAGAATAGTTGCATTTCTGTATTGCTGCAGGTCCTGAGAAGGGATGTATTTGTATGCTGTGCTAGGAGGAGTTCTGGCCTCGAAGAGCCAGCTGCAGTACATTGTAGCTGCTACAAACTGTAGAGGTGATGACGAATGCATATGTTCCAGTGCGTGTGAAACAAACCCAGATTTTGTGATAGGAATTTTCTGGTCTTAGATATATGGTAATGTTCATAGGTGTACCAACCAAGCACATACGTAGATCAGCACAGGAAGACCAACCTGGAACCATTTCGATTCCTAAACTGACCAAATGTTTTCTCTGCAAGGTCAAAGTGGGAAACCTCCCCATTGTCTCTTTCCTCACAAATCCTGTCTTAAGGACACATTTAAGATATGAATAGGGTGTGAGCCTGTGACCTGGCCCAGGAACTAAGTATCACTACAAAAGAATGAGCGGGCTCCCCAGACAATCCAATCAAATAACCTGCCAGACAGGAGATAAACAACAGGAGAAAAACAATATTAAAATTTCTGTTTTAGACTGCCTTTTCTGTGATGTAGGTGTGATGTATCTGAGGGGTGGTCTTAGGTTACACCCCTTCTGTGATGTATGTATGATGTTTCTGGGGGTGGTCTTCATCTACAGGGTTATTCTCTCCTATCAATAGGGTTTTGGATACCCCATAAGGGAAAAGGGCAATTTTTGTTTACAACACCGTGTATATGATAGGCTATTGAGCATAACCACTTAGATCCTAAATTAACTTACGAAAGTCAGTGGAATTAAGGCCTCACCCTTCCACTACAGCTCCCTTAAATGTCTAGATAGGAACAATGTAGTCTTATGGGGTAGAGGGGGCTGCTGCTGTTAGGGGGAATCACCCTAAGTAAATTAACTAGGGAAGTTCACAGAAAGGTTTCCTGTTCTCTTCTCCCAGCAGCAGATTCCCATGCCACTGTCAAACATTGCTCAGAAATCCTCTGACCCCGCAGGGGGTCTTTTACAGTGCCACACAGGGAGAAGGAAATAATAAATTTGCCTTCCATGAACTTCGTTAACTTTTCTTATGTTGCAGGAATTTATGTATAGGTTGGGGGGGGGGTTGCCCCTCCAGCAGATATCATGCACATGCAACCCACTACCAGAACCAGCACAATCACTTTTGTGACTTTTATGATGTGTCCCCACAAAACACTTAATCACAGTTTCTTCCTATCCATTCAAAGGGCCTTTGCTGCACGATACCAAATGTAACAATTCACTGATAAATGTATCTATGTACTGGCTCACTGGGAAAACTTCAGAAATTCATATAGACATGTGAGCTCAGCTACTCAGCAGCCCCTCTGCCTGAGTGATAATTCCTGGCATCCTGATACCTGAGTGCCAGACAGGTAGCCATTCTATAAATACCAAACCCAGATGAAGACAAAAGGGTGTGATTGACTTGGCTGGGAAACAGGGAAATGTAAATATGGTAATGCTCATAGAGCAGCAAAAGAGGCTTGAGCCCAGGAGTCAGCCTCTTTTCTTTGGCCTTAGGCCCACCCCCGGCCCGGCCTTCCATTGTCCTCCCTGGCCAAGAGCGGTTCAAAGGCCAGCTCAGGCAGGTGGGTGGCACCCGCCCAGGTGAGCCTCGCTTGGTGCCGCAAACCCCACCCACCTGTGGGGAAGGGAGGGCGGATATTTTGTTATACTTGATGGGTGTTTGGTGGAGGGCAAGGAGAACCATGGGGCAGGGTCCAGGATGCTCAGATTACTGCCACCAAACCTCCCCTTTCATGATGTAACCGTGATGTATGAGTGATGAAGTTTGGGGGGGGTGTAACATGGGGATTAGCAGCTAATAAAAGTTTGGGGGCTCTTTTGTTTGGGGCTTCCATCTTGTTCCACCTTGTGGCAGGTGGGAGTCCTGTCGCAACAGTCTTCAATAAAGACCAAGCCTACTGGCTGCTGTTTTGCTCTGATATTTCTGGCTGGTGTCCTTGTTTTTTGTCTAAGGGAGCCCTCAGATTTCTCCGTTAACACTTAGGATGCAAACCCATATAAAAATCAATGATTTTGCACATACATTATTTCTACCAGACGCTATAAAGTATAATCAGGTTGTGTTCGTAGACTACATTCCTCTGTTTTCCTTATCATTCTTCCCTTACTTATATGTGTGCAAAGAATATGGCTTCATGAATATAATTAAGCAAGTCTGTATTTTAACGTTTTTAACACACATCTGAAGCATTCTTTCTAGATCCCTAGCAACATCCTTGATTTCCTAGCAATGTTCTGAAATTTTGATTCTTCGCTTGTCCTCATTTCTCTGAACCTTGAAGACTGACATTAATTGAAACGCAATGTGTGTGTGTGCGCCAGGTTTTGTGATAAGCTTTTTTTCTGACCATTCTTACATGCTTCTGCATGTTTGCTTTGGAGGCACTGAAAGCTTCACCATTTTGGATCTACAGAACAAAATATACTTATGTACCATTTTACTGGGATTCAGGTGGGGTTGTGGTCTAAACCACTGCACCTCTTGGGCTTGCCAATCGGAAGGTCAGCGGTTTGAATCTGCACCATGGGGCGAGCTCCCATTTTTCTGTCCTAGCTTCTGCCAACCTAGCAGTTCGAAAGCATGCCAGTGCAAGTAGATAAATAGGTACCACTGCGGCAGGAAGGTAAACGGCGTTTCCGTGTGCTCTGACTTCCATCACAGTGTCCCCATTGCGCCAGAGGTGGGTTTGTCATGCTGGCCACATGACCATGACCACTACCTGCCTTAACAGTATTTTCTTCTTAATATATCAAAAGACTATTCAGGAGGAGTCACAAGAGGAGGACTCTTCTCCTCTTACTACATTATTACTACATTATATATTATACTACATTAGCGTCACCTTTCTGTGACTACAACACCTCATCGACTATCCTTTATAGTAGGGTCTGTTCTCCAATAGCTACAGATCCAGTTGTTTTGTAGCTCACACCCATAAAGATGCCCATCTTCTGGTGCAACGATGATCATCATATTCCTTGTAAATCTGGAATTCATACATCTGAAGTACAGTGGTACCTCGGGTTAAGTACTTAATTCGTTCCGGAGGTCCGTTCTTAACCTGAAACTGT